GAGAATTGAAAGTTATCATAGCTACAAAGCCATGGTTCCATCAGCAAAAATTTTTTTCGGAAAAAAAAAACATTCCTCCCATTAATATTATGAAAGTTTTCTTTTTTTTAACTTTCCATACCCCATTGTAGACGAAAAAGCACCGATTATTAAGTGATAATAAAAATAATCAGAAATTATATACGGGCTTTTCTAAAATAAACAACTTGCAACAAACCGCGGTTAAAACCAACGCGTTCAAGCGATTCGAGTAACTGACTTCACCATCCCGTGTGTCATCTTGAACCATATTATAACCGCGGTACATAATACGGAAATTTTGGTTATCCGCTTGGATTTGATTTATGACTCTGGCTCATACATTATCAGATTTTTTACCAGCCTGAGTTTAGTGCAAAAAAAACGATAAAAACATAACCTAACAATTTTTACAAATTGTCATTTTCGTTATCGCCACTATTTCGGAGCGTATAACACCAAATAATAAAAGTTAGTGCATGAGGGGGCAGGGGATTTCAAAAACGAGAAGCATGACACTAGTGCAGTGAAACGGTATTTATAGGTGGTAGGCAGCACCGAGTTACTCCGAGCAGCTCAAATGAAGCACCGGAAAGCGGCTCTGATAAGGTGTTACGGTGTTTGCATCCTTGAACGAATTCATGGATTATCCGTCAGTACTCAGTGTTGCCAACCACACAACCAAATTCTTCATAGAAATATTTTAAGATTTAATTTCTATTGCAGTTTTGATTTCAAGGCGAATCTCATTAAATTAAACCATATTTTTGCATGCTTGAATTGAAAAATTGTTCAATATAATGGAAAGAATCAAATTCAAACGAATAACCAAATGAAAATGGTAATACCATTTGGATTGGTATTTACCGATCCGTTCAAGCGAGTGTGGTTATCAGTTTGGTTATAGGATCCGTGACGCCATCAATCAGCTGTTATATGACATAGATATCACCGTAAAATTGTGGTATTTACCCAACGCCGGAGTAGTTTTATATTTCTGGTTATTATTTGAAATGTGACAAGTTAGAATTTTGGCGGGTATTGTATATTTTTGTTGCACTTCTGCTTCATTTTTGGGAAACTTGATACAGACTGACTTCAGTTGTTGCATAATAGAGAACCTTATTAGTTATGCTCATTACTGTTGTTGGGGACACTTTAAATCTAGTTCCTATGCTTAACAAAGTAACCTCTGTAGCCATATACCACAAGAATATTAAAATATGACCATATAAACTCACTAGATAATGTAGACCTGTATTCGGTTTTGCTACTATCTTTTTTCGTCGCTTTTTTCTATCATTTGTGCTAAATCAATAAATGTTTTATTTAACATGCGGAAAAGTTTAGAGAATTGAAAGTTATCATAGCTTCAGAGCCATGGTTCCACCATTAAAATTTTGGGCGTCATATCTTTTATTTTCACGATAAACTGAGAGACTTTCTCAAGTGATTTAACACCTGAACTTCAAAAAAACATTTCTCCCATTAATATTATGAAAGGTTTCTTTTTTAAACTTTCCATACCACCGTTGTAGACAAAATAGCACCGATTATTAATTGATAATAAAAATAGCCTAAAATTATATACCCGCTTTTCTAAAATAAACAACTTGCAACAAAACCGCGGTTAAAACCAACGCGTTCAAGCGATTCAAGTAACTGACGTCATCAGCTCGTGTGTCATCTTAAACTATATTATAACCCCGTATAACACAGAAATTTTTTTTATTCGCTTGGATTTGATTAAGGAAAACCATGTTGGCATCATGGAATTTGACGTCCAACTTGGTAAAAATTCCATGGATTTATTTGACGTCAAATTCTTGTTGTATACTTTTGAAATCTGGTCATAAACTCAATTCATGAAGAAATCTGTAATACTGTCATTGTCAACCTGTCAGTTTGATGTTTGCATATATTTTCCAGCTTCCCAATGTAATTTATAGTAATAAAAAGCTGTCAAATGGCATGTCGAGGACGCGAAAAAATGCGGCGTTTAAATCGTTATTCATATTGCAGATTTAATTAAAAATAAATATAGGCATTTCCACGAATGAAATGTGTTTACGGTATTTTAAAGGGTGGCCGATATGTAACTGACTGATTTGTATCTAGAATATTTATGCAATGGAATAAAAAACTAATTTCAGACAAATGTCCGCCTCTAGAAGCCGCGCAAACCTGAGCCCTCTTGTTTACATTTTCCATCACTTTTTGGTAGGCTTCGGGAGGAATATTTTCAATCGCTTCCGTAATATTGTTTTTAACCTGTTCTATAGTATTTGGTTTATTGGCATAAACCCTATTTTTCAGAAATTCCCATAAAAAAGTCAGGAACCGTTAAATACGGTGACCTTGGTGGCCAGATGACATCACCAAATCGAGAAATTGAACGTCCCAGACGTATTGTTCGCAAAAGATTCGTTGGTTCCCTAGCTGAGTGACAAGTTGCTCAGTCCTGCTGGAACCACATGTTTTGCAAGGTTAAATTGTTGGATTTGAGGAGCCAGAAAGTTTTTATCGCGGTAGCGGTCGAGTCTTCAAAGAAGTAAGGTCCAATGACACATCCATACCAAATACAGCACCAAACTGTGAGACGACGAGGATGAAGTGGTCGTTGATGGATAACACGGGGGTTCTCTAATGCCCAGATACAATGCTACTTATTAACAAATCCTGTATTGTCGGCGATTTTCATGGTCACTAGTCTGTAGTTCTTGTATGGCCGCAAATGCAAGTATTGTTTAGATAGTGCCATATTGACGTGCGACAAATACCCAGTTCTTCAGAACCATGTCTGGTAGACGTCTCAGGGCGCTCCACTACACTTTCACGAACTCTCTCTATATTTTCATGAGTATGAATACTGCGAACATTTTGGCATGTCTTTAACTTCTTCTGTTTGTTCAAATTTCCGCACCAACTGATGAATGGTGTTGACACTGGGCACATCATTTCGACCGAAATCTTGTCGTTGGTTCTGAATCGTTGCAACAATCGACTCGTTATTTAAGAAAAACGTTTCAACAATACGGACGCGTTGCGGGATCGTGTAGCGCTCCATGATAAATTGGACACATGTGCTTCAAACAACTACTAACAAAAAAAACTACTATGGTGCCACCTTCTGAAATACGTATGTATATCAAAAATGGCATGCAATTTAAATCAGTTAGTTATATATTGGCCACCGTGTATTAACGTAAATAATCGATAGAAAATAAAAAAATCTTGCTCACAACTGCAAATCCTACTGCATATTTTTTCTGCACGCAGTAGGGCCATTTTTATATTATTTTTCATTTTGAAGGTTTACATTCAACATTTGAGGGCCAAACAACCCGAGAAGCCAAGAAAATTGTTCCTCACGTTGAAGAATAAGGAATCAAGAAGGTTCACAAAGTGCTTTCATGGTTGGGGCACTCATAAGAGACCTCCTGAGTAATCCTTTGTTATTTTTACCTTTATTTATTCTATTTATTACTAATTTTATTTTTGAGAAAATTTTAAACGATGAACTAAATTTTATAATTGAAAAAGCAAAGTATTTCCACACCCTTTTATGCAACGGATTTTTTTAATCTGATGTTTCTAACATACATACCTTACATTCACTTTTTACGTATAAATGATTCATCTTGTTGAAAGTCTACATTTGGTGTAATCTAACCATACTTCAAGATTTTTTTGAATGTGCTGTGATCTGTGATGTAAATGCTTTTACCTTGTAACTGCAAATGTGTTTGTAAATTTTATCATTATCGAAAATCAATCAATAGTACTCATGTTACAGTATATTTATTTATAATCTTATAATTTGTGATTACTAGGCGTTTTCTTTAAGATATAACATAGTTGTATGATAAACATGGTACATGACAGCTTGTAAAAGGCTTCGAAAGAATAAAAATACCTATGAATGCATATGGACTTTTTTTTATTTTTTTATTAGTGAGAACACCACTTCCTGATTTTAGCTACAGAAAAGGTCCTGAAAATATCTATTTCACAAAGTAAAATTAATTGCTTATTGTATTTCTAGTATCTAAAAAAAATTTGGTAATGGGTAGAAAAAAATTACAATTTACAGTTTAAATGTAATTTAATGCAGTCATATTATAATAAATAGTAGCTCAACCTCAATATAATGCAAACAATTCTCACTTTGAACATACCTATATTGAACACAAAAATATTGGCAAACAGATGGACTAAACTAGAAATTGCATATGCATAAGTGGAAAGGTACTTAAAATTTAGACTGGGCATAACATCACATAACTTAAGGATGACTAGTGAATCAATTGGGGCAAGTTTCTCCATCTATACTTAGTTACTATTGTTTAAAAGCATAATCAGCGATTTTGATAACAAAAAACTAGTCAACAATGCATCAGCAATAAAATCAACATGGATAGTTTGCTGAGTAACATCTTTTTGAGCTCAAGTTTAATACACTCAAAATTATTAACACAAAAAATGTGAAACAATGACAAAAAATGTAAGTCATCAATATTCTTATTGTATGATAGTTATAAAGGGAACAATGTTTGAAACATAAACTTACTATTACAAATTTACCATAAAATATCAGCTAACAATAACTTATCAAAAGTTTACAATGAGTAATAAATAATAACTAGTTTTAGATCAAAAATTGGCGATAACATTTGGATACAATTCAATAAGTTACTACTGATCATTAACCACTGATTTAATCATCATCATCGTCATCATCAGATGGTACAAACAGATCATTTTCCTCAAGAAAATTAGCAATATTCTTGCTTATTGCAGCACCAATCAATAATCCAGAAACTACAGTAACCAGAACCTAGAAAAAATTCAGATTTAAGCTTAAGCCTCCCACAGCAGAACACTATAGTGATATTGAGAAAATAAGTAACCAAACTAATCATTATGTAATATTTTAGTTTCAAGTTTAATTTGTCATTAAGAATCATTGAATTCATCACACAGTAAAGCATATTTATCTATCAATCGACTGAAATATATGGCACCCAATACTTGAAAAAAATATCTCAAAACATAAACTCTGGAAACAGAGCCATCCTTAGCAGATGCGAGGCCTGGAGCAAAATATTTTTGCGAGGCCTTTTTTTAAAGAAATTTTTTCTGGTGGTGGCTGCACGTTGGCAAGCATGAGTGACCCACTGGCATGTGCAGGACTGAGGGTGACAATTATCAATGTTTTGCATTCTTTTGGTCATGATTATCTCGTTCTTGGGTTTTGTAATTAATCAATAATTTAATATATTGCGAGAGTAATCAGAAACATATTTTAGGAATGTACATCTGTAGATAATTATATTATTTTCGATCAACCAAAATTTTTTTTGTGAGCGCGAGGCCACTCACTCCACCATAAAGACGACCCTGTCTGTAAATTACTAAGCAAGAAATTCCGAGATTGGAGCCTTTTTGCTAGTAAAGACCCAAAGTTAAAATTTGAGGCAAAAGATAAGGCAAGTATCCTTCCTGAATTTAAGTGAAGATGCGGTCATAGAAGTGCCTCGTGCACAAGCATGGAAAATAGATCATTTCTGGAATATTTATTACCTTCAAGACGCCCATAGATGCCCTATAGGGCTCATTTTGTATTTTCCCGTGTTTCGTGTACACTGCATTACGAGTTTGAATTTTCAGCAGATGAGTTCTGCGTTCTAAATAAGGGATAAATCGATTTAAGAACATATCGGTTTGCGTTTATCTTTTCACTATCTGTTTGCAAACAAACTTCTAGATACGTTCAGAAATCTTGGTCCAAAAACAAATTGCATAACCTACAATAAATCCATCTAAATTTATATGTCACTTGCTGATCAGCTGTTCACCTCAGTAGACGTCATTCCAATAGGGTTTATCATTTTCTCAGAATTTGTGAAAATGATATAAATGCTACATTTAAGTGAGGAAAAAAGGCGTGGTTTGATATTTATATGACCACGCCTACTTGCGATGTCACCGCGCCCCATTTTCAGCGATAAATCTTAAAGTCACGTGGCTTATTACGGTTGTAGTTCTACCTACCACTGAAGAGAGCGCTGATGCCACCTATTTTGAACTTTCAAATATTGTAATTTTATTGTCAGTTTCTTCCTTTTATGTTCGAAAATTTATTTATGATGAAAATTTATATTTAAAAGAATGTCTACGCATAAGAAATTTAAACGTAAAATAAGTAAAAAGACCGCCAGAGGTGGTCTTTTGGATAGGTACAGTCCTTTCACAGAATTGTTCAAAGTGCCGGCTACAAGTCTGAAGAAAACGGTGAATGTATTTGAAAGCTATCAGCCTGAGCCTGGGAATGTTTGGACTATAATATTTCTCAGGTAAATATGTAGATATAATTGATGAAAATTAATTTTATAGTAATTTAAATATGCACATACAAAAGTTACGACTGGTAGGAAGAAAACGTAACTTGAAAGACCGTGACTGAGACTAATGTAACACTTCAAACTAATCCTGACATTTTCGTCGTGTTTTAATTACCGTTTACTGTACAACGTTTGGGCCACCGCGGAATTTGAAAAACGCCACCGTGGGGTGGCCGTAACGACGTAGACGGTAAACAGTAATCAGAACAAATGAACATATGAGGTTTGATTTCGCTATTGGAGTCCTACTTGCGAGACGAACTTTCGATCAATGTCTATTGAAGCACTTTAAAAATTCCGAGCTCTAATAACTGGAATCATTGCTATTATCAAAAACAGAAAAACTATACGAAAACTGCTGTTGTATGTGCTTAGTCCTTTAATCGTTTCTGGTTTCTGGGCCTGGGGAAATCAATATCAAAACAGAAATACGCAGGAAATTCTGTGTATTATTTACATTTGCCGCTCAGAATTGTAATGCTTTAAAACAGACTCAACGGACTAGCTCTTCTTCATGTAAATTATGGCAATGAGGACACATCGCCGGTAGAAGTGTTGGAGAGATTTTCTAAAGTTGGCAAATTTCGAAGTGACTCCAATGTCTGAGACTGCTGCTTATATTCAATTTTCCAATTAAATTATTCCTCACCAATCGAATCCAAGAATTTCATTTTCCTTGTCCGCTCCTCAATATTTCCCTCTGGATCCGTCTCTGGCGGAAGGTAAGCGTACGCATTACTTATATAACGCATCTACCATATTCTTAGATACAATGATTCTTGTCTGACTACACATCTAGATCGCCAGGACAAATAGCTACCATACCATGGAGAGCTTTTTTGTGCTATTTGGCAACTCCTCAGCCTGGTGTAGGCTTGGTCTGAGAAAGGATAATGGACGAAAGCTGAGCAACAATTCTCTATCCATAGTATGAGGTCTGTCGAAATAAGACATCTCTTACCAAACTCGACCACCGCGAATTGTTTTCACTTTCGCAGTAGTCAATTCTGGTAATAGATGCCACTTTGTTGTGTGTTATTTCGATAAACCTATAGATGAGTTAATGTTCTCAATTTAGGATTAGCTTTATTTGGCCTAGTAGTGACTTTATTCCGGTTGACGTATATGAATTGAGAATAAATGCGGACTTGTATTTAAAGTGAAAAAAAAGATCAGCGGGAAACTATTATCAAGGGTTAGTGAGTGAAACTGACGCTCAAGAGTTCGGTTTTCATCAGTTGTTCTCCTACGTTGCCTACACAAGCTAGTTCGACCAAGTTCTTCGTAAATATTTCCTCCAATTCCGTAACATATTCAACGAAGCTCCGAAAAGGCCTCCAAATCAATCATGGGCTGCTTTGGAAAATTTTGCTGCTAGAAGTAAAACTACACGTCAGATTTTTGTGATGTCGCGTTTTTGCCACTGGTACACTCACGACTCATAGATATACAGGGTGTAAAGTTAGTCAATGGAAGTCAAGTGATAGAGGGTCTCAAAACCTATCGAATGAACCTCTATATGTGTGGTCCGAAAGTTGATATTTCAGGAGATATTTGCAATTCTGTGAAATTTAGAAAAAAAACGGGATAATGAACTTTCACTCGCAATTACAACTAAACCATTAGGTTTAGGGCTGTGTTTTTTCTGAGATGAGCTAAATGGTTAGTTTTAACAATGGTTATGTCACTTTTTATCAGAGCTTATTAGAAATCAACGAAAAAAATCTTAAATTAATTTTTTTGTGAAAAATCTCTTCCATCCCTCAACTTTGGAGGTCGGTAAAAAATTTAGTCTGTATTTCATGATTCATTTTATTGTAAAAAGTATTTTAATCCATGTAGAATAAAGCATAAAAATTTCACGATGAGTCTATCATGTCACATTCGTTGCGGTGATGCGATAAACGTAAGAAACGCAATAAAATCCTTACCACCTAAAAGTATAGAACCTATTGTGTTTAGCCGCTCTTTATGGCGACTTATCGACAAATGAGGAAGATAATTTAATTTAGCTAACTTTAAAGAACATGTAAGAAATTTTATTTGTGCTTTATCAATTTTCTGGCAAAGTTGGTTGACATTTGTATATTCAGATATATAGATTATCCCCTTATAAAACCTCCATATAAAAAAATCTCGAGGTTTTAAGTCGAATGACCTTGGAGCCCATCCTAAGTGTCCACTTCTATCTATCCAACGCCTAGGAAAGGCACTGTCTAAATAATGCCGTACATCCCGTGCAAAGTGGCATGGGGCACCATCGCATTGAAAATACATGCGGCTTCGAACGTCCAAAGGTACATCCTCTAGCAGCTCATGCAGACTGCTTTGTAGAAAAGCAAGATATGACTGACCATTCAACATGGCGGGCAATCCATATGCTAATATTAATTTTTTGTTGAGTACTCCAGCCCGCCGAACTGACGTTGAAAGCTGTGACGGCGAATAGCGTGTGGATTTTCCACGCTCCATGAATTGAAATTATGCGTGTGGAATATTCCATTTCGGTTAAAGTTGGATTCATCTGTCCATAAGATGCTGACGAAAAAAGTTCCATCCTCTTCGCACCTTCTCAACACATTCTCACAAACTTCAACCCGTTGTGCATGGTCGCTTGGAAGCAATTCTTGTACTTTTTGTACATGGTAAGGATGCATCTTCTCCGAGCGTAGTTTTGTGTATACTGAATGGGATATGTTTCTACCTCGAGCAGTGGCTCTGGTGCCTATAGAGGGATCTCTCTCGGCTGCTTCTATTAGAATCTTCTATTTCTTCTGCGCGTATCCTCGGCGCTCCTAGGTGTCGATGAGTACCTAGTATGCGGCCCTCCATATACGCATTAAGGACGCTTAGAAAAACGCGGTAGTCGGGATAATCCGCCGGTTGTGGTCCACCTCTTCTAACCACATACTCCCGACACATACGAGCAGCTGCTCGAGCATTTCCTAGGGCAGCAACATAATAATAATGCATTTCTGCATAATCTCGCGGAGAATATGACGTAACTCTACTCAGATGAGAACGTTAGATACAAATTCCGCGCTGGACCATTGCCCGACTTAGTAATTTCGGTCGGACCGAAGATTGAATGCTCCCGCATCTGGAATGCCAAATTTTACAAAGTGTTAATACACACAGTATCACTCGCACTGCTAGGACGAATCTAACAGTACCTCATATGTCAAAATCTATCAAGTCGTTGGGACTCTAGCTCGTGAAATAGAATTTCTTGTTTACATGTATAGATACCCACCTGCGTCAGACATACAGATTTTTTGAGGTGAGTCACTTATCGTAGCAATCTGAAATTTCCAGGATTTATTCTACATGGATTGAAATAGTTTTTACAATAAAATGAACAATGAAATACAACCTCGATTTGTTTTAGCCTCATAAGTTGAGGGATGGAAGAGATTTTTAAGCAAAAAGATTAATTTAAGAATTTTTGCGTTGATTTCTAATAAGCTCTGTTAGAAAGTTACATAACCATTGCTAAAACTAATCATTTAGTGCATCTAAGAAAAATCACAGCCCTAAATCTAATGGTTTAGTTGTAACACATTTAGCGCTTCATTCGATAAGTTTTGAGGCCCTCCATCACCTTACTTCCTTTGATTCACTACTTACTTTACACCCTGTATACTCAGTAACATAGAAGTGCTACACCCTGAAAAAATAATTTATTCAACTTGTTTTTTTGGAAACATAATGACTGTATTTAAATCATGCCATGGCAACAATGTTAACGTTTTATCTTTGTTTTGTTTACCTTACTTGTTAAAATGTTATCTCTTAGTTTTTGCGAAGAAAGCAGTTTCTGAGAGCTTAGTCGTACCGATATTTTTAGTTATTGCCCTTTCATTTACTAGTGTTAAGCATAACAAAATGCCTCGAGTCCAAAGACGTCCAAATTATCACCATGTTGGCGACTTTGACAGGTTTAAAATTATTGCCTATAGATATGTTGGTTTGTCCTATCCCGAAGTTGGCCGCCGTGTTAAATTGACGGTATTGCGTGTGTGTCGTGTGTGGATAGAAGAAGCAAGAAGAACAAGAAGAAGACAGCACACGAAGAAGGCCAACTGGTCCACCGAAACGTACCACAGAGCGCCAAGATACGCGCTTCAGACAACTAGTCCTACGAGACCATTTTGCTACTACGCGTCAAATCGCTGACCGATGGTTTGAGGAAGAAGGTATACCTGTTACTATGCGTTCTATCGCCGTATTCGAACCCTTGGACTTTTTTCATACCGCCCACGGTTAGTGCTTCCTCTGACTGCGGACTACTGTCGTCATTGTTTGAACTGGAGCAGAGTTGGGCAACATTCGGAGACAGAATGGCATGATGTCACATCTTCAACGACGAATCGCGATTCTGTCTAGGTACGCACGATGGTCGTAGAAGCATAAGCCGCCGCCGTGGAAAACGGCGTTGAGTTGAAAAACGCTTTTTAGCGACACTTCGCCTTTTTATACTTTGTATAAATAAAGCCGGATTATTATTATTATTATACTGGATTTGCTGTTGAGAGGCATGTACACACGACTGTTGGAGTAATGGTTTGGCGGGCGACTGCCTTTGGTAGCCGATCACCCCTTCTCTTTGTTCAAGGCAATATGATTGCTGCGTGTTATGTTGATGGTGTTCTACAAATCATTTTACTGCCGTATCTAGAAGACCGTCCATACGTCTTTTTTCAGCAAGAAAACGCACGTCCCCATATTGCTCGTCGTACTACGGACTTTCTTCAACAAGTAGGCTTCAATGGCAGACATCGATCATCTGATTTTGTCGATGCCTAGACGTATACATGAGTGTATTCAGCTGCCGGGTGGCCTAACACATAATTCTTTTTCTTTCTTATTAATTGTCAATAAAACTTCGTGAGAGTCTTATCGTTTTATTCTTGATGTAAGACCTCATTGCCAAAAAATGAAATTGAAGAAATATTTTTTCTGGGCGTTACACTTCTAATGTCATTGAGTATATTTTGGATGGATCATCTTCGCCAATTGCACCTAGACATGATCTGCTGCATGAACAAACGGATTCCAAATATGCTGAAATAACAATAGTCGCCTAAAATCATTAGCAAGGCAACGAACCGCCTGGCGAACCAGTCCGGCGTATATATGCAGCCTTACTCAAGCCTAAAAAATATACGGCGCTTGACGAACCGAAAGATAACTCGCTGCAAAGATGTCGAGCAGATATGAATAGGGACAACGTTGCCACATGGCCGGTAACTACCAGTAGGACAGGGAAATAATGTATATGGACTAATTATATGGGCCTGCTTGACTGACCTAATACGTTTAATTTTTCTTTTCTACATGTCGGTAACTCAATATTTCCTCATAGGATTTAAATTGCGCTTAGCTTAATCCCTTATAAACTGATGACGGGGTTGCGTAGGAAGTGCAGGGTAAACCCACTTGACGCCATTTCTTGTTCTGTACGACTTATTTTTTTACCTAACAATTCTTTTTGTCTAGACTTATGTAAAATGGAACGTCGGTGAGACGAACATCAACGTAACCGAAACTCACGCAGATTACGTTCCCGCCCCTGAAAGTTTTTCCAAAAAGAGAAAAAAACGCAAATCATATACTGGCGTGCCACCTATTAGCAAGACTGTGGATGAAATATGGCTGGAAGAAAGAGAATCTTCACAACGGAGAGGCAAGCAGGAGTTCAAGCAGTTCAGGAAGAAGAGGAAGATCGCTGACAAGATGAGAGGTTTCATGCTAACATTAATTGAAATAATAAAAATAGTAAAAGTCCGGTAGCGAGCATTGAGCATCTGTTTCATCAATGATCCTTCAGCCTTGACATTACACAATGATACTTAGCTTTTGATCCCTGATCCTTGATCAAAAGTTCTCAATTAGCTCTTGTTTCCGAGACAAGCCTAAAAGTGCAAAAATAGCGATTTTTGCCCATATTTGAGGTAATGCGGAATGGTGATTTTAAAATAAAAGACGTCTCAAAGTACAAGTCCTTTCATGTGCCTTTGAGTTTTACTCAATTACCTTTTTCTTTCGCTGAGATATGGTACTTCGAAATTTTCATATTTCTTATATGGACCGGTTCAGATTTTGTCAGATGGAACTAAGAGCGTTTAACTTAGCCTTGATAGGGTAGGGGGTTATTGGCTTGTGCTTTGGGTAACTTTTAGATATTTGATTGATTTAGTTTAGGTGTTGTCGGTGTTTTTGATGCAGGTCTTATTTTATAAAAATACATTAAGTTGTTTAATTTTTGGTGTATTATACCCTCTTCAGACTCACGCGTGAATCACGGCGTGAAACAGCGGCGCGGATCGCGCTGCGAATTCCGAAATTTGTTCCTACAGTTGAACCCTCGCAGATGTTCGCGCTTGCTTCACAGTATAGTTCGCGCTCTTGACGAGTATGGATGGTGAAATTTGCTACTGCTGCTGCAGGGCTACTTTGCGCTTTGGCGATTTATAATTACGCATATATAAGTAAAAGTAAAACAAGTGAAAAAAAAATCACAACCATTCCCGGAACTCGCAATTGAAACACCAGCGAATGAGGAGCCTAGTCATGTTCGCGCCCGACAACAAACGGGAACAACGCGCGAACGCGACGTGAAGCCGCAAATGGGATCCACACTCATGGGTCGCGGGTAGTTCGCGGCGTCGCACGGAATTTGCGCATGAGTCAGGAGAGGGTAATATAATCCATACCACAACTTTAAGTGAACACGATCAAAATGAGTAAAGTTTTGAATATATTGAAATTCGGAGAAAGTGCCATATTTTAGCGAAAACCAAAATATATTCAACTGCATTTGAAAAAGCAAGGCGTGTACTTTGAGGCGATTTATATAGTCCTTTGTAAATAAAAGATAGTTTGCTATGCTACATAGCCTCAAGCAGTGGCGGCTCGTGGCAAACTAAAACAGGTGTTCTGCAAATCCGAACTTACCTATTTTTTATATGTCAGTTCGATCCTGCGCTGCTTCTTGGCAGCAAATTTGTCGATCCGTTGAAATTTTCCATGGTCGAAATAAATTCCTTTTCAATGGACAGCATCGACGACGCTGCAAGGCGAACCTGAGTCATAGTATTTCGAAGAAAGGTCTTGATTCTTTTCAATGTTGAGAAATTTCGCTCCGCCTCTGATGTTGACATAGGAGTTGTAACAATAATTTCTAATAGGTTTTTTGTTTCTTTTAGTGTTTCCTCCAAACTATTTTGTATCAAAAATTTCAAAAGAGATAGAGTTCTGTGTGAATCTGGGCAATCATTCCGTGCATAAATAACATACAACTCTGTCTTTAAACGACTTTTTTCTAATTCGGGATAAGCCAAGCAGGTAGTTTCCAACTTGTCATCAGGAAACTTACCATAGTATTCTCCCAAATGTTCGGGGAAAAAAGGGATGCGGCTACCAAATGATCTTTGAATTGAAATCTGTCATTTGCAGAATTCACTATATTGTCGCATTCTAATGCGGCATCTCGGTGATCGTAACTGCTATTATTACGTCGTCTCCTTTTGTTGCCTTGGGGTTCAGTACAAAAACTTTTGGCTTCATTTATTATGTCATCAATTTTATTTTTCCCGTTTTTTTTTGTGTTTTCAAAAACTTTGAGGAGCATTACGGGAAATCCAGGGCCGTCTTTATGATGGAGCGAGTGAAGGCCCTACTCGCACTAACATATAATTAAAAAGTTTTGGTTGAATGAAAATAATACAATAATGTACAGATATACGTGCCTAAATATCTGTCTGACTACTCTCGTAATATGTTAAATTATTGATTAATTACAAAACCAACGAAGGGGATAATCGTTACTAAAAGATAGTATGTGCAAATAATTTGAATATTTATTATACGAATTTATTTATTTCCTGGCAGACCTAAATTTGATTATAATTTTCCTAATGGTTCATTGCTTCATTTCATAACATTTGCTTCAACTATTTCGCTTGTATCAAGCTTAATGTTGTTCGAAAATGTTACATGAGAAAACTAGTTGTCTGGGGATATTGTATTGTAAATTTCTTTTAGGTAACTGCCTCCACAATACAGTATTAGGTATGGTTGGACCAGATTGGTATCAAGAACTTTCCCCAAAGCAACTTGAAACCGTTGATCATCTAGAGCGATGCATATTGCAAGATTATGTAAGCAAGGGCTACATCAATACTAAAGAAAATATGGCTGCCTTAGGTTGGTAACATCCATTTCTAAGATTTGAGTCCATACTAAAAGATCACTGAACACCTAGTTGGAATTTTTAGATATTGTTCTTATATTTATATCTTATATAAATTTAAATTCGACTTTCACCATTAGAATCTCGTAGAGGGTAAGAGATACCAAGTCACTTAAATGGGGACAAGGTTGCGCATTTGGGTAACTAAGAAATTGGCACTCAAAAAGTTTCGCAGTTTAAAGTATTTCCGGAGAGAGACGGCAAAAACTGATTTTTTAAGATCGTTTTTATTTTTTTCTAACATTAATTGCGATAAGATTTTAAAATAGAAAGCCCAACATTATTACTTTTTCTCCTCTCCAAGATCCCATAATCAGAATATTATTATGACGTTTTGTCTCTTGGCTTCAGTCATCAAATTTATTTGTTCTTATGGACGTCATATTGGATTGTTACACGGGCGGATATAGTTTTTGATTTTGATTCCGACAATATGTTATATACAGGGTGATCATTTGAAAACTTCCCACCACGAATTTATGGAAAAACACTGACTAAAAGAAAAACGCCGAGACACGTCAAAAGATTTATCAAGGGGGGCAACTTTTTAACCAAAAACTACTTCAGCCCCTTTCTCCCTGGGCCACCCAGGATGTTTCCTTAAAAAATTTTAAATGACAAGGAGTATCAAGTAATAGCTTATTTGAAAGGTCTTTCGAAGTTCTTTATTTTGAAGTTTAATGTTTTAAAATCAGTCGATTCGTTTAAAAAAAAAATAGAAAAACCTTATTTATCTTAATTTGTTCAGATAGAAAACAAAAACATACGAAGATATCGCTTTTTATTTCAATAAGTGTTCAAAGTGTTGCCCGTTAGGGTTTGCCAGATTCGGAAGATTAGACGTGGCAACAACCAAATAACAACCCGAATTTTTTTCTGCGTTCTTTTCATAAACACATACAGGGTGACTTCGAAGTTGAGTCATTTATTTTAACAGTGAGTAGATCTGATCAAAAGAAATGTTTTTTTCCTTTAACATTTTTGTGGTAAAATTAAAGTAACAAAGTTATAGCCCTTTAGAAGTTTGAGTACCGCCCTGTCTCAATAATATGTGCTCGTGTTTGGCAACAACGGATATAATCGGAAACAAAAAGCGAAAGAATTTGAAACGCTTATCACGATGTTTTATTCATTTATTTTATTCAGTTGTATTCATTCGATGTGTCAGTCGGTAACGCGTGAGTGGTGTTTCTGCGTGGCTCAAACGAAATAAAAAATGGCACATGTTTACGAAAATGCTGAACTTGTGGACATGATTCTTATTTTACAAAATGCTGCTACGGCAACACGGATTTATGCGGATCGGTTTCCCAATCGAGTGCAACCAACCCCTAGTGCCTTTGTTAATGTAGTACAAAGGGCTCGTGAATCAGGTGACTTAAGTCCTCACACGGGAGGGTATGTGCTCCAAGACCGCACGATCAAATACAGGTCCGCACTGAAATACTTGTCGGGAGGATATTTTATAAAACAAGGTAACATTTTTTTTAATTTTTACACACATATTTTGGTTTATCTTCCTTCTACAATCATTATCTGAAAATTAATGACTCAACTTCAAAGTATATCCTGGACGAGCAGTATTCATTGTTGTAACTGTTTAGTTATTTGTTGCTTAGGGAAAAAAAGAATTTAATTTGCTGTCAGTTATCTTTGTGACAATTTTTCTAATTTATGGTGCCCAATATCAATGTGCTCGGCGAACTGCCAAGCACTTTTAACGCCAGACATCCTGAGAAAACAACATCGCATAGGTATGTTTTAGACCTTGTTACTGAATTTACTAAAATGAAAATATTGCAAGAGTTAAACGAAGATGATTTCGATATGCGAGTTGAGCTTTGTGAAACAAATGACTGTAGCGATTAACGATAATACCAAGAATATCTACTTCAGTGATGAATGCACATTTTATCTAAACGGATTTGTTAATAAGCATAACTGCAGGTATTGCAGTAATGAAAATACTCATGCTTTTGTAGAAGGGCATACCCAGTACCCTCAAAAAATTAATGTATGACAGGCATTTTAGGAAACAAAGTGATTGGTCCATTGTTTATTAATGGAAATTTGAATGAAGACATTTATTTGGATATGTTGGAAAGTACCATCAATCCGCCTATCACTGAAATAATTGAAAACCAAATCGAAGAGGATGGAAACCCTATACTTGATAAGGCTGAAATATATTTCCAACAAGGCGGCATTCCTCCTCACTATGTTCTTCCGGTTCGGCAATGGCTAGACGACGAGTTTCCAGATAAATAGATAGGGCGAAGAGGGTCTATAGAATGGCCTGCTAGATCTCCTGATTTGACGCCATTTGAGTTTCTTCTGTGGGGCCATTGGAAATCTATTGTCTTTACTCCCCAACCTGAAAGTTTGGATAAACTTCGTCAACACATCATCGAAAGCAGCCATGATATCAAATAACATGTTTTTGAAAATGTCCGTCAGGAATTTGAACATCTCCTATAACATTGTTTGGCCAATAACGTGCAACATTTTGAACACTTATTGTCAAGCATTCCCTCAGTTTTTATGAACTACGCATAGGTGAACAGTCCTTATGATCGACCTTAGTGATGTGATATTGTACAAATGATGACATCGATTGATATTGTGAAACTACAAATGTCTAAAAAACTAATATCTCTATAGCTGGTCTTAAAACATCGAATAGAGAACAATATAATTCTAAAACTTCAAATCATTTGAAGGTAGTATTAAAAATATTAAAAACTTAGCTTGAACGATGTTGCAGATTAGAGCTCCTCCATCGAGCTAAAATAACTCTTACTATAGTCCGTAAATCAGCAAATTCAATGTTCTCTGAGCACGCTTAAGGCCTACTATGTAAATATTAGTTTTTTTTAAATGACTTTGGTCTGACAGAGTCAATGAATAACATATTATCGCAGGTTTGGTGTTACGTCCAAATCAACAAAAACTAGAGAGAGCTTTGCAAATTTGCTGCGGCGATCCCGTAGAGTTCCTGCTAACCCTTTATCAATTAAGCAATCCAAAGAGAAAAAAATACTCCGTCAATGATAGACTGATTCTATCAGCTGTTGTCCATTTAACTATGACCTTCACATTGAGAGAGTTGCATGTTAGAATTCCTTCTCCACCAAGGAAACCTAAGGTATGATATTAGCCTCATGATAAAGACGAAACTACTTAAAAAAACATTCACAGGTAGTTCAAGAGGAGCCACAAGAAGTAAAAAAGGCGAAATATAAGTCTCCATATTTGGTGCCGTACACGTTCAAACCAGAGCCACCAGCTCATACTGGAGAGTATATCAACAGTCAAATTCAACATCCTGAAAGTCCGTATTTTAGTTACCTCGAAGATCTGGTGAGTATCTCTACTATCTGAAGTTTGATAATGAAAAAATCCTCCAGTTCTTTCAATGATCTCTATTAATACCACAAATGACAAAGTGTGAAGGTTTGTGACTCAATCACGCCACTGTTGAACGGCAGGGTTATAACGTAAAAAACTATATAATAATGTCAAAAAAAAAAGGATAAAATGACAACTTACTGACTAGTGTACCAACAGTTGCCATTTTTGAGCGTCACCAAAAGTGTCATCTATGAGGGAATCACTCAATGATACGCTTCATGATCATCCTGCAAGTCAGTATACCAGCAAGCTTTGTTGGTTGCAGAATGCCGAGATAGTATATAGAGTATATATCTGAGCAGATGTGACAGAAACATAACTGACTGAGTAACAAGCTTGGCCTGAATGTATGTAACGAAATATTTGAGCTTAATCTTCACCAATTTCCAGAAGTTTGATTAATTTGAAACTTCGTACACGTTTCAAGGACCGATGACAATGCAATAATTTGATGATAGTTTTCCATGATCCCTAGATGTAAAATTCTGTAAAAAGCAGATATGTTCATCAAAAATCACGGATTTCAAATACCGCTTTACGAATAGTGAAACTGCAAGCCTCTGTAGTTCACTGGCAGAGCATTGGTCTTGTAAACTAGGGGTTGTGAGTTCAATTCTCACAAGAGGCAGATTTGTTTGTTTGTTTCAGATTTATTTAGCATTAATGTCCATAATATCCATATTACACATTATATCACAAAATACATTATATTTTTATTCAAAATTTCACTACAATGAATTCTGGTTTTCCATGAGATATTTTTTTCAATTTCCCTTCGAACATCTTCAAACTGACACACATCTTGATATCATTACTTAATTTATGAAGTTCGTACAATCCTTTTTGAAATACTGACTTGCTCGTTATATTGCTACTGCAGTTTTGTAAATGAAAGTCTATACTTCATCTAGTAGAATAATTGTGGCACTCACTGGTCAATACAGTAAAATTTTCTAAGTGATTTGGTAGAATATGATTTTTTAACTTGAATATGAAAATGAAAACCGAGTAGGCTATGAAATTTTTGATATTTAACCATTGTAGTTCTTTCAGCATAAAATTTATCCTAGTATTTTTATTTAAGATGATTCTCATAGCTTTATTTTGTACTATTTGTAATTTTAAAAATACAGTTTCATTTGCAGTGAACAACATAGTTGAACAATATAACAAATGAGGAAGAATGATAGTGTTGTACACATTTTTTTTAGAATAAACGCCTAGGGTATGCGAAATTCTATAAAGGTAATTTATTTTCTTGGATATTTCTGAAATAATATATTTATAGTGCCCTTCAAATTTTAACTTACTGTCTACGTATATGGCCAAATATTTAAATGATTCGATTGATACAATTTTTTCATGATTAATTATAAGATTTATCGTATTTTGATCTAAAGATTTTCCTATTAGCATATATTTTGTTTGTGTTTAGGTTGAGTTTATTTACATTTAACCAATTTATTAAGTTTTTCATATCATTATTTAACAGCTCTATTGCAGTTTCGATGTCTTTATTTGATATATATATATATATATATATAAAACTTGAGACGTGGTCATTGTCGTCTAAACCAGTTAGGTGAAAAATTAAAGCTTCCGCCTTTTGTTGGGTACTCTTTATACTTTTTTAATTCTCTCTAGCTTTCAATGGACTTTCCCATCATCATTAGGAGCTGCAATAACAATGATAACAGTAGCAACAATAGTGTAAAATGAATTTAAATTGACTTAACTTACAGTGGTATGTGAGGATGTTGCTAATTGTTGTTTACGTATAGGATGAGGGAAACGTCCAGTAACATGGTGAAAGCTGGATAGATGGTACAATGGTTACTGGACGTTTCCCTCATCCTATACGTAAACAACAATTAGCAACATCCTCACATACTACTGTAAGTTAAGTCAATTTAAATTCATTTGTTCACTATTGTTGCTACTGTTATCATTGTACTTGCAGCTCCTGATGATGATGGCAAAGTCAATTGAAAGCTAGAGAGAATTAAAAAAGTATAAAGAGTCCTCTTTGCTTAAATTTTGTCGAAGTACCCTACAAAAGGCGGAAGCTTTAATTTTTCACTTAACTGGTCTAGACGACAATGACCACGTCTCAAGTTATATATATATATATATATTAATGTATCAAATACACCTACCGAAATGTTTTTAATATTTGTTAATGTATTGCCAATTTCAGTTCTTTGACTTCTATTGATTAAATAATTTTGTAATAAGTTGAATACTGAACCTTGAAATCCATAGCAATGCAATTTCGTTAACAATTTCTCCCTGTCCATAGTCTCAAATGCTCTCTTGAAATCTAAGAACAGTGTTACTGTAAACTTTTTTCATCCATATTTCGCTTCCATTCTTCTACTACCATTTGAATTTCTGTTTCAGTAGAATACTTTTTTCTGAATCCTGCTTGAAATTTTGTCGTTATCTTATTTTCTTCAATATATCCATTGACTTGTTCATATATGATTCCTCCTAAGAGCTTCTCGACATCTGGCAGTACATTAATTGGCCGCATGTTTGTATATAACACAGAATTTGGAATAGGAGTAATTGTAGAAAATTTTAATTTTGAAGGAAATTCGCCATACACTAAACAGTGATTCACTAACAATAATAACTTCTCTCCAATAATGTCGAAACATTCCTTCATAATCATTTTTGAAAGATGTTCACTAGGATTTCTATTCGATTTCAATCTTGTAATAGTTTTTGACAGATGGCTGATATTTATTGTTTGGAATTGTCTCATAGAAGACTTATAAGTAACTTGCATGTGACATAGATTTGGATCCCCATCTTCGATTGATTCCACTATCTCATTTACACCTTCTATAAAATAAGCGTTCATTCGTTCTGCAATCAATATTTGTTGTTGTGTTAATCTTCGGAGCACATTCTTGATAATTCATTCTTCCTACTGGGAGATACAAGATTTTTTAGTGTCTTCCACATCATTTTACTGTTATTTTTATTGCTATCGATTTTGTTTTCGTAATATTTTTTCTTTTCGTTCCTATGATTTGTTAAACACTTGTTTCTTGATTTCTTATATTGTATCCAATCTTCCTCAGTTTGAGTGATCATAAACTTTTTATAGTCATCATCACGCGTCAATTTAGAGTCTAGAATTATTTGCGAAAACCAGAGTGTTGGCTTTTTCCTTTGATATACCACTTTCCTAATTTGTGCATCTCTCATGCAGTTCTCCATACAATCCATAATTTTTGAGAAGTGTCAGCATCATTAAACATTTTAGTGATATTGGCTTGTAAGACTGACTCTCGTAACGTTTCAAAGTCAATAATTGTGATTTCTTTTGATTCTCTCTCATTAAACATATGTTCCACCTGGAAACATATCCACGAATGGTCGCATATTTTTGGAGTATGTAAAACCTTAATACTCAAATTCTGTTCATTGGTTATTATTAAATCGATCATAGTTCGTGAAAAGTTTGTAATCTTTGTGTAGTCATTAACTTTTTGCCATAGACCATGAAAGTTCAGTACCTGTTTAAATTTTTTTACATAAAAATCTTGATTATCAAAATCTGTATTGAAGTCTCCCAAGTGCACAGTGGAGCAATTTCGATAATACTGTTTTTCACAAACACTCTCAAAAAAGTCCAAAAGTTGGATAATATTACAGCTTGAAGGTCTGTAGTGAACGTGTACATTGTATTTTTGTCTCATCTTGATTTCAAAATTAATATACCACCATTGATAATCAACAACTACAGTATTATGTGTTTTTATTTCAATCATGCTCAGTTTGGATATTAGTATGCCACCTGTATGTTTCGAAACAGTGTTTACTCGTACAGCATCATAATGATGAATATCAATCTCCATATCTTCAATATCTTCTGTAATATGTGTTTCAGTCAAGCAAAGAACTAATGGTTTCACTAATGTTAAAAAATTTATAACTTCATCCCTGTGCGATAAAAATCCTTGAATATTTATATGGTATACATTGTTAGAATATCTTTTGACCTGTAATTGCTATTTGTCACCATAAGAAACTTAATTTTTTGATTTTTCATATTCGATCTGAACCGCGTTGCAGGTATAGTGGAAGGATGGGTGATTTATATTGAAATTTGTGTTGTACAACAAATTTGATTCTCTGCAATTTGGACATGTTATTTCATATTTTGATATAGTACAGTTCTGGGCCTGATGATCACTATTACCACATTTTAAACAGATACTGGTCTTGGTGCAATTCTTGGCTGTGTGGTGAAATCCGCCACAGTTAAAACACTTCAGAAGATAGTAATGCTCAAAAATTGTACAAACATCCATGGATACAAACAAAACTCCTGCTTTCATTACTGCTCAAAATTTCGATTTATCCAATTCCAAAATTGCCATATACCGAAATTTCATTTTTCTGATTGTCACTACTTTAATCGAAGCATCACTATTTATCACGTTGTTTCTCATTTTTAAGTCTCTAACCAATTCTTCATTGTTTAAGTCTTCACTGAAACTCACGACTTTAATCATTGGTAATTCTTTGTGGCCTACATTTACTTTATAATTTTGTCCAACACTTTTTTCTATGTCCAATTTTAACTTTTTGATATCATCGATATGCTTGCATTCAATTTTCAGTGCTCCATCTTTCAGATCATTTACTTTTATAATATACAAATTCATTTTTGCTGCATTTATATACTTGCTTAATTCCTTCTTTGTTTGCATACAACTTTGATTTGTATTATTAGGTTTAATATCAATTGCATTTTCTGGTTGTGCTGTTGTGTTTATATTTTTAGTATATTTTACCGTTTTTTTTTCTTTGGTGATGAAGTAATGTTGGTATTTTCAAGTGTAGAACTTTTAACCATGTCTGCATAAGATTTACTGTTATTTGCAGCTGTATCTTGTAAAGTATCAGTTTTTTTATTTAGTTTATCTTTTCATATAGTTCTTTTATCAGTTTTTCTTGTATCGAAATAGTATAGTCTTTTATCTTTAAAATGTCTGTTACAAAAAATCCTTTTTCTTCTTGTGATACATTCACCTCATTTGCATTTCCACCAGCCTCAGTCCCTTCTTCATCAGTCTCCATATGGTTCAACTCGATATTTTTTCAAGAAAGAACAGATTGTGGTATGCTCTTTTTTAATTTCTTTAACACGCTTTTATTAGCTTGGCCTGTATGTATGTATGTACTTGTATATACCGGAATCTTTGAGCATAATTTTCACCAATTTCCAGATGTTTGATTAACTTGAAACTTCGCACACGTATCAAGCACAATACAATGATTTGACAACAATTTTCCATTATCCTTATTGGGACCGCCAGGATTGATAAATTCTTTTACTTTTTGTTGGTTCGGGCACTCGGTACAGCACAACGCAGGCAGATACTTTCTCATGCCCACAAAAAAACTAATTGGTAAATCGAACTAAAAAATGAATAATAAATAATAGTTTAAAAAGGCTAAACAAATCACGCTTTTATAGCCAACTGAACTAAAAAGTAGAAAATAATTCTTAATTACAAAGAGTTTATATTACAGAGGTAGATGGTCGAACAATAAATCATAATTAAGGACCTCAAAATAAAATTATAATAAAATTAATGTTATTAACAGAATAATTCAATTCAGAGTAAAAAGCGTGGGGTGCTTGATATATTAAATTTTACAATCATTCTATTGGCAACTATCTATGACAGAGAGTTATGGAAACGTAGTAAAATGCATCCCGCTATTTTTACTCTGAATTGAATCATTCTATTAATAACTTAAATTTTATTATAATTTTATTTTGAGGTCATTAACTATGATTGATTGTTCGACCATCTACCTCTGTAATATAAACTCTTTGTAATTAAAAATTATTTTCTACTTCTTAGATCGGTTAGTTGTAAAAGCGTGTTTTTTTAGTTTTTTAAACTATTATTTATTTACATTGGCCTTTCGTTCTGAAGGAGGTTGTTTTGTGATTTCGACATTCGCATTCATAATACTGTGAATAAGTGGTTATTGGGTTATGATAATATGTTAAGATATGCCACACAGGCTGCGAGGTACTTTATGTATCACTTATTGTGATTCTGATTACACATTTGATATTAATGTATTGTTGCATTAAAACGTTCTTCACACTAATGTAAAATGCATGACCTACATATACTTTACACTACTTCCAAGCCGCGGATTTAAGATAGTACTTTATACTTTTTTTCAGTTTCATTTGATATATTACAGGCAGGAGAAATGGCGCAAATGAGGGAAGATCCAAATCTAGGCATTATGAGTAGAGGGCTAGGTAAGATTTTATATCCCGTCAGCTTATAGACACCGATTTTTTTTTAAATACCAGGTTGAACTCGACGAATTAGCTCAAAATATAGGGTATACTTGAAGTTGAGATAAATGAAAATGAAGGAACATACTGTTAAGTGTTAAAGAATTTCAAGTAACTTTTTTCTCAATTTGTAATATTTGGTGCTGTCTACATAGGTCTTCTACTGTGCTCTCTCTCATTTAACACTGTGTAAAGGAATATTCTATCTTCAAGAACACCCTATATGTCACCGTATAGACAGGTCAAAGAAAAAATATAGAACATCGGTATCGTAGTAACTTAAGGCACTGCTCTCAGCAAAGCAGCTAGACTTCAGTCCGAATTCGACTTGTGGATGTAATTCTGACACTTTTCGGTTGCATCAACAAATCTTTAATATCCAAAAAAAGTACTTCTCCATCACGTTTTTGTTCTTTGAAGAGATTCAGAAAACCTTCCACGAGATCTACAGTTGATACAAGAAGTGTGACAAGCAAGTTAACAGTATACGTATGATCATCAGACTCGAGAAATGTATTTGCTACAAGGTGTTACTTTCCACCGATCGTGCGTTGCATATTATACAGGGTGATTCACAAGTCGTGACCAAAGATGAAACATCATACATAGGACCGCATTTAAAGGCGTCTTCTACGTAACATTTTTTTCCTCGAGGGCTTCATTATAAAGATGTTGAAGTTTAAAAATGAAAAACAGTTTTTTAATATCTTCAAAACCGTCAACTGGAATAAACTAAAATTTGGTATGTGAATTTAAATAAGTATTGAAATTAGTAAATTAGTAATAGTAGGTGGTGTCTGTTAGGAAATCTACGTTGTTACTCCCGAGAAGCCGCTTAAGCATTTTCAATACAGAATCCGTACACAAAAATAATATCGACTAAATCATTGCTACATTCCATTTTATAAGATTCAAAAATGGACAAAATAAACTTTTGACTTGACTTTTACAAACAAACAAAAAATGGTAGTAGAAACGATAACAACCGTATAACACACAACTTTGACAAACTATCTCATAAGAAATGTCAAGTTGGTATCAAGTCCTATTTTATTTTGGAACTAATTGTATCCCGGCTCATCATTAATGATATAATTTGTTTTATTTTTACGAAAACAGTGCACTCTAGGAAAAAACAGAAGACTAATTATTTGTAAAAAATTGAAAATAAAATTCGAAAAATTGCGCGTTTCGGAAAAAACACTAGCGTACTATTTTTAGTTGAAAAAATAGTGCCACTAATCCCATGTATCTCCGCCACTGGTGCACGTTAATTTTAAGTAAAGACTTTTGAATGTGGACAATACTTAGGTGAATCCACATACAATATTTTAGTCCATTCCATTTGACGGTTTTGAAGATATCAAAGAAATGGTTTTTTATTTTTTCCACACCCTGTATCTTTTTTATGAAGCCCTTGAGGAAAATATGTTACATAGAGGACCGCCCTTAAAATGAGGACCTGTGTATGATGTTTCATTGTTGTATTTGTTATGTATTGGGAGTTGCAAATGAAAATTCATATTATTTATTCATTTAAGTTTTGCGAATGGAAATAAAACAACACGGTAGGTAGTTTTAAATGACTTTATTGTGTTTCGAAGTATTCTCCACGAAGATTAATATTCATCTGCATGCGCTCGAACCAATTTTCGAAGCTCTTATTCCACTCGTTTGCTGCTGGCACTGCTTCTTCTGGTGATTGGAACCTTTGACCACGCAGTCTGTTTTTAATTTTCTGGAAAGTAACGAAATTGTTAGGACTTAGATCGGGACTATATGGAGGATGGTCCAATAATTCCACGTTTTCTTCCGTTAAATACTGCCTTGTTCTTTGGGCTGTGTGCGAGCTTGCATTGTCTTGGTGGAGGATGATTCTTCTTTCGGGGTTGATTTTTCGAAGCTCGGTGATGACTTTTGACAAAAAATGGTGGTATACCAATCCGCAGAAACAGTTCTTTACTCATTAAGAGGAATTGATGCAATATGACCCGCTTTTGACACAAATGTCGCGACCTTCTTTTTCGGAACACTTCGAGAACGGATGACTTTTGTTTGCTTTTCTTGAGTAATTGAGGTCTTTGAGATCTTCAAGGACGCCTCAATCTCACGATATGTCACATGTCTATCTTCAATGATGAGTTTGCGCACAGCATCGACGTTTTCCTGGGTGACTTTGTGACACTTAAAAATTCACTGTACTGAGAACACTGCACGTATTCCTATGAAACTTTGAATTTAAGTTTACTAAAGAGTGAGGTTAAGATTCAGTACTGACGTTCGATCCGCGTGGCCTACTATGTTTCTATATGCAAAACATAAAAGACATCCCTCGTATTGTCATGAACTTAACATATACTCCTAAAACTAATTTTAGGCAAAAATGGACTTAAATAGTCTGGCTTTGAGGTACAGTTATGTTGAATGCTGATCTGACTGGATTTTCTTTGTGAAATACGTTACTGGAGGCTTTTCCTTTCAGATAAGGTTACTAAGAATATCAATAATGTATTAACATTCAGCATTCTTAATAGTAAGTATGCATTTAGTGATCTTTTCGAAACCTCAAAATGAGTCGAAATCGGGCTTGAGTCGAGTTGCTTTGGTGAGAACAGTGCCGTATTTCAACATTGCAACTGTAGTTTGGTTTTTGAATTACAGATGGCACCGAGATTGTATATGAAATTCAGGCAGCTCAAGACTACTATAACGAAATACATGAAACCAACATGAACTGTATTCTGCCACCAACAATTCTAGTACCTTTAGAAAAAGATCAAAGGAATGCTATTGATGATACTAAAGCTTTGCTTGATGACTTAAAAGAAATGACGGTGAATGCACCATTTGTTAAGGTCCAGGGAATAGTTTTCGTCAACGCTGGGGTTAGTATGACTGGGCGGATGTCACAAGAATTGTCGGTTTGTAGCTGTTGGTCCATTTTGAAAGTCTTGAATCTTATCCTGTTTTTATGTGACATAGGACTACATTGTCTTGTCGAATTTTGTCTTGAATATGTTTTAAATAAGAACCGTTTTGTAATGGAGTCAGATAAACTTTGTTTATAATCGTTAATTGTATCACAAACTAATATATGAAAATTTTTTTCATTTTTCAAAACAGTTATCATAAGAATCTAAACACATGTCAAGCTTTGGCACCAGCTTTTGGAACCCCTTGTCAAAGAACAATGCCTCTTGACCATTAAACCAATTATTTCTTTCAACATATCATTTCCCAAGCCCTTTCCACCAAGAAATTCCTTAAGTTTTGGAAGAAGATGAAGGTAAGACGGTGCTGAATGGTGGATGAAATAATTCCTAATAAAAATGGCCCTGATATATTTTTTCGCACAGAAAAAAGCCTAGAGGAATTAAATCTCATGATCTAGGTAGCCAATTTATCGGTACGTATACGAGAGATGTTTTGAAGGCCACGACTCAAAATTCTGATCATAGTTGTTAATTTTCTCAGTTCACTAGCTGTGTACTGCTAGTGGTACATTTTTGTTGATAACGTTCTTTGGTCCCATGAGTCCCTCCTAGAGGTTGTTCAACATTCTAGAACAAAGGAACGACTTCACAGGCCAGGTCTCGATGTACATACCGAGAAGGTTACTGTCTATCCAAGAAAGACATTAAAACGAAACATAACCAGTGTGTGTTCATTACGTAATCAGCACGTTATTTATTTCAAGAAACGGGAAGCATGACTGTTATTGTGCAGAATCAGTTGAGTACTACAGGAAGGTGGAGTGGGAGAAGACACAGCGTTGCATGCAGCCTCGCCAAACGCTAGCGTTCTGGGGTCCGATCACGTAAAGTATGCGTGAATATGTTTGGTTTTAGTTCCTTTCGTCCATAAATGAACTATACAGGGTGATTCACAAGTCGTGATAAAAAATAAAAGATCATACACCGGACGGCATTTTAAGTTTAAAAATAAAAAAACATTTTTTTAATATCTGCAAAACCGTCAAGTGAAATGAACTAAAATTTGGTACGTGGATTTACCTAACTATTGTCCACATTCAAAAGTCTTTACTTTGAATTAACGTGCACCAGTGGCGGAGATACAGGGGTTAGTCGCATTATTTTTCCAAATAAAAATAGTACGCCATTGTTTTTTTCGAAACGCTCAATTTTTCAAACTTCACCTTCAATTTGCTACAAATAATTGCTATTGTGTTTTTTCTAGAGTGCACTGTTTCCGTAAAAATGAAACAAATTAGATCATTCATGAAGAGCCGAGATACAATTAGTTTTAAAATAAAATAGGATTCCTTGATATCGACTTGACGTTGCTTGGTAGATAGTTTGCCAAAGTCGTGTGTGGCGGCGAAGTGCAACAGCGAAATTTTGTGAATGGTTACTGCAAATGCATAATCAAGATGCACATTTTATTCATTTGGCTTTGTGGTCGGATGAATCGCTTTTTACGAGGAGTCGAACCTTCAATTCTCATAATGCACATATTTGGTCGCTAGAAAATCTCCGTTCTGTAAGAATCCACCCGTTTCAACACAAATTTTCTAGAAATGTCTGGTGCGGCATTTTCAATGACCAACTGTTAAAGCACGTATTGCCACAACGTTTAAGTGCAAACTTATACCTACTGAGCTTTTCTAGAGAATTACATAGAAAATGTGTTAGATGATGTTCCGTTAGCAACGAGAGTACGAATGTGGTATCAGCACGACGGTGCCCCACCATATGCTTGTCGTGACATAATTGCATGGTTAAATAATCATTTAAGAGAACGATGGAGCAGCAGAACCGGACCCGTACATTGCCTGCGAGCTCTCCTGATTTGAACCCCCTGGATTTATTTTTGTGGGGCATCTAAACAACTAATGTATGCTAAACAAATTAATGCTGTTGATTAGTTACAAGAAACGAAACAAATTGATACTGTTGATCAGTTACAAGAAATAATAGATAATGCGTTTCGTCAAATTCAAGCCACAACAAATTTTGCGGAAATACGTTTTCCTTTATTAAAAAGATGAAGCACTTGTATCTGTTAGAACGGTGGTCTTTTTGAGCATTTATTGAAATAAAGCTTTAATTATTTTATTTGTTTTTTTTATTTTTACAAAACCAGTAGATGCCGCACTTGTAACTGTTAGAATGGTAGTCTCTTTGAACATTTATTGAAATAAAGCTTTGATTATCTAATTTGTTTTTTTTATTTTCACGAATACAATGCACTTTAGGAAAAAAACACAAGAGTAATTATATGTAGCAAATTGATGGTAACATTCGAAATATTACGCGTTTTGAAAATAACAGTGGCGTACTCTTTTTATTTGGGAAAATAATGCTACTAATCCCCTGTATCACCGCCACTGGTGCACGTTAATTTTAAGTAAAGACTTTTGAATATGCACAATACTTAGGTAAATCCACTTACCAAATTTTAGTTCATTTCAGTTGACGGTTTTGCAGATATTAAAAATTGATTTTTATTCTTAAACTTCAACATCTTTTTGATGAAGCCCTGGAAGAAAAAAATATTACATAGAAGACCCCTTTAAGATGCGATCCTGTGGATGATATTTCATTTTTGGTCATGACTTTTGAATCACCCTGTATAAAGTTTGTCTAGCAGAGCGACGACGAACAGCATCATCTAGGAGAGCTGAAGAATGTTGTAATTTCGAGACATTCTGGAACTTTTGCAGTAGTGCTATCAGACGGACAGCGTTTATAAAATTTTATCTGACTTATAATTTGTAGGTGGTCATCACTAATTTAGGTAGAGTATTCTTCGTACAAGGATCGTATCAATCAAGTGACGTTGAACATCCGATGTATCAATACGAAGAAAAAAAACCGAGTTTGTCTGCTTTGAACACAAACATTGAAGACGATTGCTGCAACGTTGGAGAGCAGGACGTTAAATGCCTACCAGGAGGTAATGAAGATAGCTTTACAATTAGGGCCATGAGTTTGAAGGTCTCTGAAAATACATATCAGCGTGTTCTGAAAGCTGCGATTTTCCCTATTCGAAAAAACAAACCGCGAGATGGAATGGTTCAGGGGAATTATCTGAATACGCTCGCAAAGCGTTACCTAAAAATAAACAGATCGATGCTGAATGACAAAAACTCAAAAGCAATGATCACATCAATCAAGAACAAAAACAGGAATATAATACAAGGATCAAGGCATTCAACAACTTTATCTTTAAAGAAAACGCAAACCATTTGAGATATCTCAAAAATTTTATTATTGGATTGAAGTATACTCAAAACATTTATGTATATAATTCAACCTCATTCATATGTCCACCACGGGCACGTTCGCAGCGATCGATTCGCTGAACCCAATTTTCAATGACTCGGTCACACATTTCGACAGAAACGGCCGCTATCTCTCGTTCAAAATTGGCTCTGACCTCCTCTAACGATGCCTGCCTGTTGGCATAGACCAATGATTTAATGTAGCCCCACAAAAAAAAGTCTAGAGGTGTTAACTCAGACGATCCAGGCGGCCATTCCACAGAACCATTTCTCGATATAACACGTTCACCGAATTTAGATTTCAATATATCGATTGTTTCACCTGCTGTGTGACTTGTGGCACCGTCTTGTTGAAACCTCATTTCATTAATGTCTAGCCTATCCAATTGACCAAAAAAAAAAAACGTTGCAACATGTCTCTGTAGCGATTTCCGTTGACTGTAACGTGACAGTCATTTTCATCAACGAAAAAAATAAACGGCCCAATAACACCACCGGCATGAAAACTACACGATACAGTTATTTTTTTGGATGAAGTGGTTGGTGTTTCTTGAAGCATATGAGGGTTTTCACCTGGCCAATAACGCATATTCTGTTTGTTGACGAAGCCGTTTAGCAAAAATGCGCCTTGTCTATTGGGATGATAATTACGACCAAAAATTGGCGTTAACGCTCTTGAAGTTGCATTCACCGATTCGGAATTTCGGTAGTAAATTTTAATTATTTATACAAACGCTGTTTGTTCATGTACTTCATCATGATGAAAATGTTTTCTTTACTGGATGTTTTGACATTGACTGTTCGGTAATTGAGTTAAAGGTTCGTTCACAGTGAAAGTCCGTATTGGACAACCCGATAGTTGACTATATAAAATATCTAAGATTTGTGTTAGACAGAAACCTAAATTTCAACATAGTGATAGGCCATAGTGATTTCATTATTAAGAAAATTTCAATGGAACTTTTTTTCTCAGATTTGTTAAAGAGCTGTCAGTGTTTGCAATAGTTATGGTTTAAAATACAATAATAAAGTTCCATTTTCAGTACTTCAAATAGGGGCATGTGTGTAATTTTGCAATGCACAAGAATTGAAGGCATGTTAAATACTCTTCAGTGGTTGTCTGTAAGCCAACATGTTTAGTTAATAACCATGACATTTATATTCAAAATTGTCAAAGGAACTCCATCTAATCGTTTAGCTGCATCCCTGCACTGAAATTCATACATATTACACCATAACAAACTCCTATATAATAAGTTACCAAATCAAATATAAAATGGAGATACTATGAGTCATTTGAGGAGATGACTTGTCATGCATATAAGAGGTGGCAATGTTTTTTAATATAATTCGATTTAGTGGAATGTGTTGTTCTTTTATTGTGAGCTGCAGTGAGCCACCAATTTTTGCTTGTTGCTTCCAGAGAGAGAGAGAGAGACGGAAAAAACCGAATTTTCCCAAAATTGTTTCATTTTTTTTTCTGACCTATTTGCAGTTGGATTGCAAAATAACATTGACACTTTTTACTTTACAAGGTGGCATAAATGCAATTTCAAGATGACGTTTCGTCTCTAGTCCTCCAGCAATAAGTTTATTTTTTCTTATGGAGTTTTACACAGGTATCGTGACTCCAAAAATGTGTAATACGTTATATATTGACATTGCCAAACCTTGGTTATTAAAAAAAGCAGAATCTTGCAGGTAGGCCTTGAAATTATAATATAGTCATTTGTTTCGTAAACCAGATTTATCGTTAAATTATTATTTTTTTTCCTGGTTTTACTCGGCAAATAAATAATATGTTGTCATTGTCACCTTTTCTCCTCTCCTCTCTATGAATGTTCAATTCGATTCTTCTTCTGTCGACTCCCTCCACAAACTTTGTTTTTTCATATGGACGCTGAGTTGGAATTTTGTACATTTAAATGGGGTTTTCAGTCTTAAATCCAGTAATATGTTACCTTTGTGGGCCATGAATTTGTTGGTAAAATTATGAGGAAATAAAATGGTATGGTGAAACTTAAACACGAAATGAAAATTTTATTGATTATAAAACAACAATAATCACAAACAGGCAGAGGTAAATCATAGTCGATGTTCAAAACCATGTCTGTTATTTTGTTGTCTTTCAAAATTTGTTGCTATGTTCAATTTGAGGTCTGATCTCGTATACGAAGCAAATGACTATCTGCAATAACTAAGATGGCGATGTGAATGTATGTCATCTTATACATTTTTGGATTCAAAATTATAAATTCCAATAGGGTGTCTATAAGAAAAAAAGGTTGTTGCTAGAGGACAAAAGACAAAACGTCATATAAAAATTCTAATTATGAAATCTTGTAGAGCAGAAAGGGTGGCAATGTTAATGTGGAATTTATTGTGAAATCCCACTACAAATAAATTCAGTCCTCATTTTTGGAGAACCCTCATTGTTCGAGGGCTTTAGTCTAATAATTTTAAGGTAGAACATCGTATCTCTATCTCGTTGGATATCATTTTTATGATTCCGTCGACGGTAAATACGAGAGCTGAAGGTAACTTGGTGTTATTTCCGGTGCTTTGGTGTAGGATCTTTGCTTCTCACTGCCCAATTCTGTGAAATAGTTCACACGCTGAGTTGCGGATTTATAGCGTGGTGGGGTGGTTTTTATAATTTTTTAATTTTAGTTTTATTGGTAACTATTTGTCTAGGGGGATAATACGAAATAACTTTCTTATCCTGTCCCTCAGGACTTCTCTGTGATTTTTTTTATTATTGTCCAATAAATGTCTGTGTGTCTTATGAGTTTGTGTCTTCTTAGCCCCATTGTTATTTCATTTCCTAGTTTTTGTAACATCAAGGTACAAGGAACGACAGTTAGTTTTGGTGGGATAACAGTACCTCTTACCGTTTCCAAGATCCCAATGGTGAGGGTCGAATTTGAGACATCCGGTAGATTCAGAGGCTTTTCACTCCACAGATGCGGCTATTGACGAAGCTCAACAACTAAATGAATTTGAGGACTCAGAAATAGAAAAATCGCCAGCACCAGCATGCAACGAAGTACATCCAACATTTGAAGACTCCTCAAACGGAGATGGTTGCATCTGTACCAGCAAGCGGATAATTGGAAAACCTTTCAATGGCGAAGCGCTTTTTGTCAATGGTGGTATAGTCTTTTCACGCATTGGGCCAGCGTACTTGGTCTCCTATTCTGTGGTGAGGGTTGAGGAGGCACAACCGTTGAAGAGGCCGATAATATGCTGTATGAAGGGTGCTGAGGATTCGGGATATGGGGCAGCCAAAGGTTCGGCTCATTTTGAACTATTATAATGTTATTTAACACGTAGAATGCCACTGCCGCCTATTGGCAACCGTGATATCTAGACTGCTGTGCCTCCGTCACCATAGGGTGACAAGTGTGATCTATTATTATATGGTGATTTTTTTTTCCGTTCTACTTTTAAACTTTTTTCATTCCCTACTATGAGTTATGTTTATGATTTGTTTCAATAGTTCAATATGCTATTCGTTGGAATAAAAATAATCTTGTCGCTAAATGGCGACGCAGGCACCCCAGTCCTAAATTCTACCTGTAGTACCAGTGTCGCCATCTGGCGATCAAGGAAATATTTGTATTCAGGTAAGAAAATATATTTGATAATTACAATATCATCATTTTATTATCATTTTAGTATCATTTAAAGCAATTTTCAGGCAAAATAAATTAAAGACCCCCTTGGCCCCTGAGTACATGTAACAACATTTTACTGGCAGCGAACGTGTTAATAGGTTTGAGCCTGCTTCCACTTCGGGTGCCTCTTTTTTGGATATCCAGGTTGTCAATACATCATTTTTAACCTTCCTATACTCGTTCGGTTGCTTGCCTCTTGCTATTCTTATTACTATTATGTCATCTCTCATACTGCTTATATGACTGTGCTATTATCTTTTGTCTTGTACCCAGTCATTCATATTATTAGTGTTGCACCTTTGCCTTAAATCTATGTTACGTTGTTTGACTCGTAATATTTTCTCAGTGACTTTCTTCACCTCACAAGCTTCTGTTAATTTTTTTGTTCTTTGTTTTTGGTATCAGGTCTTGCTTCTATTCATCTTGACGTCTCTAATTTGTACGGGCTCACAATGTGACCGCCTGATGGTTGCTAAAATAATAGTGAGACTTAGTCCAACAGCGTGCTTAATGGATGTTTTGATATTATTGAGGCAAGAATATTAATCCTGATAAACTGTTTAAAATATGGAGAATTTCTAACAAAACTGAAGTATTCTACATAACCCCTGTTTCGAAAGTTAGGAATTCTGAGTTGTACACCAATATGCGGCCAGATGTTGAAGAAATCATTTACGAACAGATCATCGAATTAATTGAAGGAAATACAATTTTAACCAAATTTCAAGCTGGATTCAGGAAGAAACACCCAACTGAAACGGCAATACAAATGGTTTTAGAGAACTGGAGGAGATGTATGGATAATAGGAAACATACAGTAACAGCGTTTCTGGACTTCAAAAGGGCGTTAGGGATAAATTACTTACTAAAGTTCATCGCAATGGATTCAAAGGATCTGTATTCAAAATTCTATAAAACTACGTAATTGACAGAAGGCAAAAAACCAAAATTGGATCTACATTATCAACCTTAAAAAATATTTCTGTTGGTGTACCACAAGGTAGTATAGTATATTTTAGATCATTATAAAATTCAGATATTTGCAGATAATACATATCAGATGAAAATATAGACATTACTTTTAAAATGATAAATTCTAACAAAAAATCGTTAATTGGTTAAATGTAAATAAACTAAAATTGATTACTTCTAAAACAAAATGAAAGCTAATAGGAAAATACCCAAACGAAAATACTATCACACTTAGCATAAATGGTGAAATAAATATGATATTAATATTATATTGATAGTAAACTAAAGTTTGAGGATCACTATGAATACATTATTTCACAAATTGCCAGAAAAACAAATTACTTTTGTAGGGCTTCTCATAGTCTTGGTACATATTCAAAAAAAAAAAATGGTTACAATTATTCTACAGCATTTACTAAATTGTTCAACTATCTTGTTCACTTCCAATGAAGCTGTATTCTCAAAATTACAAGTCCTGCAAGATAAAGCCATGAGAATAATATTGAATAAAAATAAGTATGTACACCAAAATAAAATCTATGTTACAAGTATTGCAGTGGTTGAATATAAAAAATCATATTTTGTTCTTATTTAAAATAAAAAAACATATTTTGCCACAATTTTTAGAACGCTACATAGAATTGAATAATCATTACCACAATTATTATACAAGAGGAAATACAGATTTTCATTTACAAAGTTTCAATAGTAATATAACCAGCAAATCAATATTTCCGGAAGGATTACTTGAATCTAATAAACTAAATAATGATATAAAGTCTAGTTGTAATCAATGAAAATTAAAGGAATATTTCATGGATTGCGAAAATTCTTAGAAATGCAATTTTTGTTTTTTCTAAACATCTGTATGTTATGTAACTGCTTAGTTTTTTCACACGAATGTAATTGTAGCAATCATGCTAACTAAATATTAAACAAATAACCTGTCAGTGACCGTATCTAAGATCCCGCCACATAAATTCCGTCCACTCTGCTACGCTATAGACCGAATTCACACCGCCGTATCCCAGACACAGTTACTGACAAATAACCGACCACTGTACGAACAACTATACTGCAAGTTTGTAAAACTAATGTATTCCCAAAAAGGTGTGTCGAAAGTACTTTACAATCATTTAAAGGTCTGTGAGACGTAAAATACAACAAATATTACAGATAGATATTTATAAAAATAACATTATAGTCGAGAAGAGAAAGTTCAAATACTGAAACATTTAAGCTGATTAAGGAGTAAGCCTTGGATACAAGTCGCGTAATTTACACTCAAGACATGGTCACATGAAATGAGCAGAAATACTCATAAATATACATATCAGACATTGCAGAATTGATCTACTGGACACAATTAAAACCAATGGTAGACAACAAAATGACACTTAACTTGCCTACTTCAAATTTCTTTTATAACATAGAAAATCCTTAATTGTTTACATTCCGCATAATACCTCTATCATATACCAGCGCATGAAAATCAAATAAAGAACACCAGGCACTTTGTTTGCTTGAACTGATTTCAACAGCAACAAATGTGAATTCCTACAGTTTGATTTACAACCCTGAAAACACCGCGAGCATCAACGACTAATGGCTGCGAGTTCATACTTGTTACAAACAAAATTTCTTAAAACTCTAAGCGTCATATTGCATGAGATGGTCTCAGGTTACATTCTTGTGGTATTTCTTGAACCAGGTTATTATCAACAGGTGGGGCCTGCATGTGTGTGGCTCAGCGTAAGGCTATTCTGAGAAGATATCAACACTGTTATCCTGTTACCTATGTGATCGGAGGGATTGTTATGACTGAGGTGAGTTGATGATTCAGTAAACTGTTTTTGTTACTGAAACTTCAAAGTGTCATACTGTATTCTTCTTCCATGTATGTCCCCCATATCAAAAATAAATGAAACTCGTTACTCTATTATAATGTGGTTATAGTATAGCTAAGTCGTATTTATAGTGAAAAAAAGTGTCATTTTGTCCGGATTTATGATCTACCCACCTTATTTCCCTCAAAAAATCGTTTTGATCGAAATTGCAGATATGTCAACATTTTCTGATGTTGTAAATTTTTTGTTCCACTCCAGGTTGGTCCTGCTTATATGGTGTCCTCGGTTTGTAAGAAGAAAGAAATTAAAAAACCAGAAGTAGAAACTGCGGATCCAGACGCGTGCAAATGTAAACAAGAAGTTGATAGATTTTTGAAACACAGGCAAGACTTTGGTTTGAAATCCCTTGAATATTTGTAAAATTTGCCTTCAGATATTATGAAAAGTATCTTTAAGTAATAACAGTGGGAACCTTTTGCTCAGAATCTTGTTGTATAAAGGTGAAGCGAAAAGTACTGAGTTGGTCTAGTTGACTAAATTTGTTCCAGGTGCGAATGTGAAACGTGTCGAGCTCAAGAAAGAAGAGACAACGCTACTTTCATAATCGCCGGAATGAAAGGGCAAGAAATTGATCCTCCCATTCCAATAATATCTGCATGTGTGTCCCAGAAGAACTGTACCTGCCTGGAGAGATATGTGGAAAAATTAAAAAGGATGCATGAGTACAGGCAGAGACTTGAGACTCGATGGAGGATGATGTCTATACAGAATAAGTACGCTATTGGAGGTGTCGTACAAACGGCCAGAGGTAATAATGACCAGATTCACAGCAGATTTAGGACCACAGTTGTGTGTTCTGTATTCCGCGTTCTCAATTCGAGAAGTTTTGTAGCTGTCGATCATCTGGTTTTTAATTTGACAACTTCGAGTATTCAAGTTTTCGAGTTTTGAGTGTTCGCGCCTTCGAGTCGTCGAGTTTTCGACTTTTCGAGTTATCGAGGTATCGATTTTCGAGTCTTCGTGTTTTCTAGTGTTCGAGTTACCGAGTTTTCGAGTTTTCGTGTTTTCGAGTGTCGAGTTTTCGTGTTCTTAAGTTTTCGAGTTTTCGAGTTTTCAAGTTTTCGAGGGTTCGAGTGTTCCGGTTGTCGAGTTTTTGAGTTTTCGAGTTTTCGAGTGGTCGAGTTGTCGAGCTTTCGAGTTTTCGAGTGTTCGAGTTTTCGAGTTTTCTGGTTTTCGAGTTTTCGAGTTTTCGAGTTTTCAAGTTTTCGAGTGTTCGAGTTTTTCGAGTTTTCGAGTTTCGAGTTTCCGAGTTTTCGAGTTTTCGAGTTTTCGAGTTTTCGAGTTTTCGAGTTTTCGAGTTTTCGAGTTTTCGAGTTTTCGAGTTTTCGAGTTTTCGAGTTTTCGAGTTTTCGAGTTTACGAGTTTACGAGTTTTCGAGTTTTCGAGTTTTCGAGCCTTCGAGCCTTCGAGCCTTCGAGTTTTCGAGTTTTCGAGTTTTCGAGTTTTCGAGTTTTCGATTTTTCGAGATTCGAGTTTTCGAGTTTTCGAGTTTTCGAGTTTTCGAGTTTTCGAGTTTTCGAGTTTTCGAGTTTTCAAGTTTTTAAGTCAATATTTTGAGTTTTTCAGTTCTTGGAACAATTGAGACGGATGTACGGGTATAGGTAGATGCTAAGGCACGCTGAAGGGTATTTAGTACATAAAGTTGGCGAACTGAGTGATTGAAATCAGCAAGTCAGAGACAACGATTTTTTTCCCTTTTCTCAAGGTGTCTTTTTAAGGTCCTATGTACATGGTGACTGGCATCAGGCCCCCAATACAATGCGCATGTGCGGAAATGCTGCGAAAGCAAGAGGAAGAGAAGGAAGCTAGGAAGAGAATGCCTGAACCGCCTCCAGCAGGGAGGATCAAATATCATATACAGGGTGTCAGACAAATGAAATGCGGGCAGAGTGTGTATATTTTATCACAGGCGCTGCCTGTTGAGCCGTGCCCCTGTGAGGAATTGTTTAACAGGTAAAAATTCTTATCTACAGGCTCAAAATTGTTTAAAGTAGACAATCTTCGCTGTATATTACTAGAATTCACGAATGCAAAAGTGGATATCAGATTTGTTGGAACTATAAAGGTACAGGTATCTCAGTTGGTGCCGAAAGCGGAGTCACCACTGTGATCGTTTGATACCGTCAATTCTGGCGATATAGTATAGTCGACAAGTCGATTGGACAAAAGTGCTTCGTTTGTCCATTAGGAGGCGTCGTCCAAGTTTTCTTTTTAAATCACTTTTTTCAGACACTTTTGGAGCCTATAGTCCGATTTGAAAGAAATTAGAACACATCGTCGTCCATACCGCTAACAGGCGTATCTGACAAAAAATCAAATTCAAGTTAACGGCTTCAAATCAACAAGGTATTGCATATCTTCAATCCCGCAAAGTGGCGTAGCTCTAAGTAGTTAGCTCACACAGATATCAGAAATCATGATCATATTTTCTAAAGTAGAAAATATTTTACTTCTACTGAAAATTTGTATAAAATCGGTTACGCCTGTCTGCGGTATAGAAGACATGCGTTTTGCTAGTCGTTTTAATGTTGGACTTTTAAAAAAACCTGAAAGGGTTCTAGAAGGTTGAAAACTACCCCCACCCCTCGGTGACGCAGTAGGTTGTGCAATCTTCCACGTTGCCAATATGTTTACACCAGTTCCTTAAATTAAGATCCATGTTGAAAATATGCGCTAGTTTATTCTTTACGACCAAATAATGCTTTTATTTTGAGCTTACACATTTTTGAATTGTGAACTGTGTCGATCTGTTTAGGATTGATTCCTAACGGCACTCCATTTTGGGCCGAGAAGAAAGGCCAGGTCGCCACAAATTCTGCAACATTTCATCACTGGTTCGTTTGACAACACCGAATCTTGTACATTCTAAGGCAAGGTTTCCGGTATGCCTACCACCCTCGTTAACGACTTCACAACAAACGCTGTATTTCATATTTTTGTTCATGGCTGCCTGAATAAAAGGGTATTTCAATGAGGATGCCTTAATGCTGATAAGTAATAAAACAAGTGGTGTATGATGTACTAACGAGATCCCTCTTCATTTGAAACTCTATTGTATGGGAATTGGTATGAAATATGGAATATGAGTCATCTTTCTAGGGTGGGTTCGGATGGTGACACGGATTGACCGAGTTCACATTTTAGTAACACTAAATTAAAAAAAAGTAAATCGACTGTAAAATTCCCACGCCTTCGAAAGAGCTTCGAGAGCAAATTTCAATGTACTTTATGTATGAAGATGAATTCTGATGTGAAATCTCGAACCTGACACGAATCTGTTGTCAAAATAACCTGCTCCAAATAACCATTTGAGGTCATTCTCTAGGTCATCATTGGGGTGATCGATAAGTTGCTTTTTAGATATCCTGAAAGTTTTCTTTAAACATACGTTCCAAAAAATACCTGGTTGCCACGTTTTCGAGGTGTTCGTATACTTTTCATACGTTACAGTAGGTCATGATTGAGCCGCATAATGACCGA